TCCTCTGTATTTTAAAATTAGCTATGTGAATTTCAATAAAAGTTCAATATTAAATCTGGAAAGATTTAATCTAATACCTTCACTAAGGTATTATAATTATAAATATTTATTAGTATAACTTTATTTGATAAAATTATATTCTTTCTTAAACTCAAAATAATTATGAACAGAATTATTTTTCCCACTATAAAATATTTTTATAAAATAAAAATTTAATCTACAAGTAAATGATAACTCTGGGGAAGATGGAAGGTTTGTAAAAACTTACAGTATAAACAATTTTATTACTTCATAGTCTCAATCCTAAAGAATGTAGAACTTAATAAGCATAGAAAAACAAATACCTCATTACATATCTCTAGATTTATCTTTTATTCAAGCTTTTTTTAATTACATGACAAAGAAATGTCATTAATTCTAGTATGTCTGTGTTTCTATGCATATTATTTCTCAGAAAAACATTGTAACGTGAGCTGTGGAGTAGTATACTTGCTTTTCTTGGGATTCTTCCCCCCCCAACACACACACACATATGCACACACATCATGTCATGTAATAGGTTCAAACATAAAGTAATTTAAATCTTTCTTTAACTTTTCAATATTAACTTAGTAGTGCTTTTGCACTATTGTAGTCCCAAATCTGTTGTGTGTGCCATATATCAAATGGGAGCTCTACCTTTTATGTTGTATATTTGCTACCTTTCTTATTTTAGTAACTCAAGAACTTATTTGAGGCATTGCATAAATGTTTTTGTCAATTGATTTTTTTCTTCTCAAGCTTCTTAATAATTACGTGATTGGTTAATTACTTTTTAATCTCTTGTTAAAAATCTCTCCTGGCAGTATACTTTGTATTGGGACAAACTGTATCTTTTTATATTGTTGAGATAATTGGGTCAAAGAAAGTAAGAAAACATTCAGGGTTTAGGGTTTCTGATTGTTACTTGGTTACTCTAAAGAGGTATCTCAACTATTTTTATTAGAAAATGGAGGGAGCTTATATGGCAGTAGTTGAATTTTATCTCTTGAAGTTCATAGTTTTGGTTTAATGAGCTTTGAATTGCAAGGGAGCATTAAACTAATCTTCCTTTATTTAAAATCCATTTAATGGATTTGGCATATCCTAATAAAGAGGTTACCATTCTATAAAAGAAAACAGGAAACATCCTATGAAACCAAGCAAGAAATAATCAAAATTATAACTGAAATATTTTGTGAAATGAAAATTGGAGTAAAAAAATTACCAACTGGACTTTTGATTTGCCTTTTGATTTGCCTTTTTTGTTTGCAACAGCATGTGACATTATTTAAATCTAAATAAATAATTAAGAAATTGCACTGCAACAGAAAGTTTTAAGAACCTTTTATGTAACTTAATACAATGCTATTTGAGACTGCCAGCAAACTCTTAAAACTCCTGGACACCAGCTCTCTTCTCTTCTGGCTTCCCTCCTAGTCATGTCTTGGCTACTGTCCAGAGCTGACAACTTTCACCCAGGAGTGAAGGGAGATTTGTCTAGTAGAGGGAGGATTTTTGAGCCATCCTGGATTTTCACATCCAGATGGGCAAGGAGGAGGGGTGGCAGTACCATTGTACATACTTGGGTGATGTCATTGTGCCATGCATGAATATAACCATTAATTTACTCCTACTGGTGAGTCCTGAATGTCCTTACTCAAATGTTCCTTATTAGAAACTGTAATGTTAACAACTTCAAAATTAACACAAAAATTACTCAAACTTTATGTCCCAGTAATTGATGCACAAATACCTTGAGATTCTCCATTTCCAGTCACATATACTGCAGAAACCAAAGAGGTTTCACATCTTGGCTAATAACATAAAAACACTTAGAATCTGTTAAGATGAGAATGTGGAAGTTCCAGTTTCAAGGCCTCTGCTCAGAGCATTATGCTAAAGCTTTCTGAACACTGTGAATTATATTATGACAATTTATTGTCCATAGTGCATTCGCCCTAAAGAGAATTGTGATTGTTATGCTTTGGAGAATTTTTAAAGCTATTAATTTTAGATTCTTTTAAGTAAATTTGCCTACCTTTATCTAAAAGACCACTTAGTATTAGCATTATGATTTGAGAGACCTTTTGACAAGAGTGGTTGTAAGATATGATTACATCAGTATACCATACTCCCTATGAATCTTGGAGGTACAGAAGGAATCTGTAACACTATTTCAGCTTTTTAAAAAATATGTACATTTACATGTCCAAATATCTCATCACTGGAATACTGAATGAGTTTATAATTAAGATAAAGATTATCTCAGTCAGAAACTTAGATGTTATTCTTATATAATTTCCAGTGCTTTTTATTCTATAGACATTTTTTTAGTATCTGTCAACTTTCACCATCTAGTTTGCCACATTACATAAACTACTTTCAAAACTGCTGTGCAGAAAGCAGTAAGGTCATTGTTAAATATAACTTATTTTGTGGTAATGATTAAAACTTTTTTCTTGCTCTAATACTTCATCAAAGCTTTTAAAATCAAATACAGTTTGTAATTAATAACTATAGTATAAACTGATAGAGCTTAGAAACACAATAAATTAAATATATGAATGAGTTTCTGAGATTTCTAAACCCAGCCTGTATACATCTTTTATTTTGGAATTCATTAGTTTTTCTCCACCAAGTGGAGGATTGATTTTTTAAAATCTCCCATAAATTACCCTAAAAAGATTTATAATGTTGACAAATGTTACAGGGTGTTAAGTGGTTTATTAGTAAATTTTAAGGTTAAAGAAAGAAACCTTCTTTGAATGTCAGGGTGTCCATTTAAATATACAGGACCTTGCTTATATACTACTTGAAAGGAAGACTAATTCCATCCTTAAACCTCACAACTTCTATTATTAAAATAATTGAAAAAGCCCTAGCTTATATCACTACATATCTGAATAGTTGAGTTCTAACAAAAACTAACTTTTATCATTTTAGATTCAGATATTTAGATACAAAGGCTTAGTCTTTTATTTATAGATAAAAGGAAATCTGACCTTTTGATTAAGAAATATTGTCAGTAGCCTTTATAAGTGCTTGTTCATCTGAGGGTCCATGACAGGAGTACTCTTCCCAGTTGAGTTTATCCTAAAAATGAAATGATAAGAGCCTGCTGGTTGTTATCTAAGATTCTTCTTCATGGGAGAACCACATGGTTATTCTTCATCTCCCACTTGTTCTCACCCTCTACAACCAACCCAGCCACACCCCACCCCCACCCCAACATTGTTCAGTACTCAGCACAATGAATCATTTTCAAGTTGACTCATTGTGAACTGTCTCCCAGCTGTTGGAATGTCTGGCAGACATTTTTGTTTGGGTGAAGAATAACTGGCTGAAACCCAACCTGGATGAGTTTGATATAATGGTCTTTGGCTAAAGAAATATTGAGAGGAACTTGTTTATGGCCTCTGAAGCCCCTGTTATTCCTGGAGTAGGACCATCCCCTGTGGCATAGAACTGAAAGTAAGGAATCAATCTGTATTATTTTCTCACCATTGAATGAAAAATTGCCTTAGAAAAAAATAGGCATTTTCAAATTATGTTTGTTTTTCTACACTTGGTACCCACGTGATTAAGAGTATTAAAGCCAATTAAGGATAACTATTTTTACAGGTTCCTTTTAAGAGCACTGATTCAAAGGCCAAAACATTCTTTATACAACACACATTTCCACTTAGGAGTTCCAAATACTGCCCTAGTTATGAGTTAACCAGTCATTTCAGCATAATGTTTAGTGACAGAAGCTACTATGTATTTCAGACTGAGTCAGATAACATTGACCAGTTTTCTTTTGTTTTTCATTCTTATGCAATCTCTACTAGAGGACTTAAGAAACAGAGGAATACCAGTAAGCTCAGTAGTCAATCATGTTTTCAGAAAGTGAATGTGTTTCGTTCACTTTCATTAGACTTTCCTCTAACAGGGGTCATAGGATCAAACTAAAGTTTTCTTAACTGTTTTACATTTCCCATCCTTTTCTAAAGATTATTTTTAAACTGGTAGATATTACCAGGGTATAAAATGGGAGTTTCAAAATTAGAAAATTTTACAAAGAACTATTTTTTTCAACTTACCTAGAACTTGAGAGCAAAAATGTTATAACACACGAAAGATGTTATAACGTACAAAACACTTGCTGACCTATCACTCTGTCAGGGGCTAAAAGAAATACTGAATTTCCATTAAATAAAACAATTCAAGAGAACCTATAGGGTATTTAATGATTATATTTTTAATGATTTTTTTATAGCCATGAAATTCTGGGCATTTTAGAACCTTCACTACTTAAAATATGACCTTTTTTAACAATGCATCATTTAGCAATGTTTTTGGTTCATGTCAGGTTGTGTTGTAAAAGAAAGCATAGGGTACTAGTCTAGCGTTAGTCTTCTACCATCTTTTCTTTGCCTTTATTGTTATCCCAGAGCCAAATAGCAGCATCTGGAAGGAGAGAACAGAAGACTCCAGAGCTAGCCATGCTGCAGTCTCTTAGCTGGACCCTTCCGTGCTTCTGAAATGACACAGAGGACCTCAGCTGTTACAGGGCTGGGACCTGGTCCCAGTTGACAGATGATAGTGGGACCTTGCCTTACACATTATACTGTACTATCTTCTGCTTCTGAATCCCGATGTCAGATTTTCTAATGGGTAAAGTAATTTGAAAAAGAATAGTGTGTGAGGATAAAGGTAGCCTCAACCCTTAAAACAGAAGAAAAATAATCATTTATGTTCTCTACCAAAAATAAGGTATGTCCCCTCAGCTCTTCCAACTAGAATAGCATACCTACATGGGCGAGAATTTTCAATTAAGTGCATATTTTCATCCAGTTTTCATCCTGAGGCAGCTTTGAATTACTCCTCTATGTTGATAGTTTATCTCCTCTACCATTTTCACTGAGGTAGCATAATGGCACTGAATACATATTATGTTTTTAAACATAAAATGAGTGTTTTGTTTTCTTGTTTTACAGAATAAAGCAGTTATTGCTCGTGTTACAAACTTGTCAGATACAGTAGTTGGTCTGGAATCATTCATTGGTTCTGAGAGAGAAACCAACCCATTATATAAGGATTATCATGGTAAGCAGCTCCTTTATAATGAGAAGAGAGTACCCTGGGTTGCCTCTAGGGTTACCTGGAAGCATTGTATCCAGTCATAATATCTACTGTCAAGTAGCAAGAATTTTATTTTATAATACATCTGTCAAATGTTTTCCATTCCTGACTGTTCTTTCATGGCAGCTTATCACCAAACTACATTAAGACTATGGATCATGGTAACTGCTCGAAATAAGTCAAACCCATGTACTAAGGCACGGTTCAGTCAGAAAAAAATTTTATTGTCCCAGGGATTTAAAGCTGTCATGAAATTAGTTGTACTTATTAGCCATCTTGAAATAAATATCATATTAAGTCCATTAATAACAGCTTTGTGTAGTGGTTTACACTTTACAAAGCCTACCTATGTGATAAATAAAATTCATATTTATTATGTTATAAAAGTCCTAGTTAGTCACATTTTCATGAAGTGAACATCTTTGATTATATTTGAACTTTGCTCATTTTGTTCTTTGAGTTTTGAGCATATTTTATAATATTTTGATCCTAGTATAAATACAGGTCAACTAATCAGATTTTAATCATTTTTTGAAGTTCTTAGCAATATTTTGGTCATTTGGTTAATTTGGAGATTTTTTAAAAATAAAGATTCTTACATAGAATCATTGAAATAGGAAAGGTTTAATAATTTTATACATCTCAGCTCTAAATAAAATACAGAATATGGTGAATGATTTTTACCTATTATACTGAGTAAATGTCAATTATTGCTGTTATTATTATTGTGGACCTACTATACTTCCATGGAAAACTGTAAAGACTGAATAGCTTATTTGAACCCTGCTAGAAGATTATATAAGATTGTGATTGCAGGACTATAACAATTCCTGAGTCTACAAAAAAAAAAAAAAAAAAAAATTAGAAGATACTTTATATGAGAACCACCATTGCTTTGAAGGGTCAGCATACAATCTTTTAAAAAAAAAATAGAACAGTATAATCTAATAATCAAGTATTTTTTGAAGGCTTGAAAATACAAGCTATGAACAAAAGCTACATAAAATAATTTACCTCATGATTATTAACTTGCATAACTGTGTATGCTGTATGCCCAGATTAGCCCTATGTATAATTATTTAATCCATTATTGTTACTATTATAGGAAGAGGACTATTAAGATTAAACTATTTTTTAATTTGTTGTTAAACTGTAGTTGACATACTACATTGTATTAGTTTAAGGTGTGCAAAGTCATGATGTGATAGGTATATGTATTGTGAAATGATTGCAAGAGTTAAGTTTCATTAATATAGATTACCACACATAGTTCACAATGATTTTTTTTTCTAGTGACAAGAAGTCTAAGATCTCCTCTCTTAGCTACTTTCAAATATACAACACATTATTGTTAAGCATAGTCACCATGCTGTACATTACATCCTTAGCACTTATTTGTTTCATAACTGGATGACTTTTTTTCATTTGTTTTTATTTCCACTTTCTTTTAAGACAACTCAAGTTAAATACTGCCTTAATAAATTATATCTGAGTATCATTTGTAAGTATTATGACCTAATAAATTTAGTAAATTGTTTTTTATATTCCAAGACCGTTATTTTGATTAAAACATTTCAAGGGTGAAAGGCCATGATGTTTTGTGCTGAAATCTCTGAATCGATAAATCATTATGAACAGATTAATGAGTGGCTTTGACAAGAAGTAACATTTCTGTTAATAAGAAGATAAACTGTATTCATTCATTGTGTAAGGCCTCCTGACTTAAGGACTAAACCAGCACATATATATCAAGATAAAATGAGGAATGTGCAAGTGAAAGTCCGGTGTGCTCATTTCTAATGTATTTTACTAAATAGCTCTGTTTAAGATATTTTAAATCTGCATCTAAAAACTGTCTTCATAACATATTTTGCATTTTTTTAAGTTTAATAAATTAAATCAGATATTTCATTGAATTATTTTTGAAGGGACCATTTTGAAAATTAAGAACCTAGAGGTTTACCCTGTTAAGCTAAAACGAATACATACATTCCTGTGCATTCAAACGCACACACAACTGTATACTGGAGAAACAGTTCTTTAAATAAGAGGCATCTCATTTGTTCAGCTTTGGATTTGCTTTCTTCCCCCATATATAGAGATCAATGTCTTTGGGACAATGATTTTTAAATAGGGGCTGAGTTAGGCGGAGAGATGCACTTCAGGCAGAGAGATGCACTGAAGAATCTTTCATGTCTTCATCTGTGGCAGATGACTCCGAGTTTAGTTAGAAACGGCATTAAGCTGCACAAAAGGCATCCAATGCCCTTGTCAGAAGAAATTAGCAAGTGTTTCTACTGACAAGAGGCCAAAGCTCACGGTTTACCTAGCACTGTTACAAAGCTTATAACAGCTACATAAAGGTCTAACATGGCACAGAAATGAGTGTCTTGGGATGGCATAGGGGTTAAAGTTTGATCCTAGAGTGTGCTCTGAAATGTAGTTTTCTTCAATGGTTTGTTCAAGTCATTAATAAGGTACAAAATGAAATACTTTTCATTAGTGCTTCACTGGTTATCAGTAACCCATAAGCTGTGTTTTGCTGGCTGCTTACTGGTGCATTTAATAAAATAAAGATCACTCAGTGGTGTGGTGGGCAGCATGCAAGGTGATAGCCATATTTGCTTACTGTAAATACAAGAGAAAATCACACACAAACCGGCTGTAGTTTTGACAAGTATTAAGATCCCTCTTTACATCTGTACTTCTGTACCAAAGTGCAATTAGTTTTCCTCGCACAAGGATTTCTGTTTATCTTATTCTGCTTGATTACTTGAGTATAATCACAGCATTTGCTTCATTGCTCCTGGTAGTAAGCTCCAGTTTTAAAAGGGGAGGATGCTTGTGTGTAAATTTACAGGATTCTGCTGTAAGACTCTTAATTTATGCATCTAAGACAGTGTTTTAAATTTTGTTTTCTTTTAATTTCCTTTTCACAAGGTTTGATTCATATCCGGCAGATTCCTCGGCTTAATAACTTGATTTATGATGTATCCGATGTCAAAGACTTAGCTTTTAAATTAAAAAGGAAGCTATTCACCATTGAGGTAAGAGAGAATTTTTGTATTTTAGTTCATGACTTGAGGTTAAATGGTCTGTGTGTGTGTGTATGTGTATATATATATATATATATATATATATATATATATACACACATTTTTTTACTTTAATGAAATTCTTAGGATATGTTTCCTGCAAATATTCTTAAGTTCTTTTGGTGTAACACAATAATGTTTTTAGACTATCTTATTTTTTTCTCTTTTAGTGACTTATCATTCGAGTATAGTAAAAAATGATTTTGTTTTAAGCATCTATTCAAAGTAAGCTCCAAACTTACATAATAAGTATGACATGCGTATTTCCAAGGTTTTCAAAAGCATATTTAATTAAATGTTAATGAGCTGTGATTATTTGTGTGTGGAGTGGGAATGCTACCCATAGTTGTGTATGGCTAAGAAAAGAGGATCCTTATCTACATTCTAAAAGCAGTTTTCTTTACCATTAGTGAATTCACCTTTCCACTTTCCATGCTGAACAAAACAAAATATAATTTACACCAGTGTCTTTAATCAAATTTTCTACAAAACTGAAACTTTTTTGGTGACCTTTATGCAAGCAGTAGTGACAGAAAGTAGTGGTACAAAAGATTTATTTCAACTTAATCTTGCTAAAGAGCAAATGAACATAGCACTATTAAGCAATTAGAGTTGATGTATTTATTAACGAAATAAATGCTCAGGGAGAGATGGCTTTTGGGTGATGTGATAGTTATCAGTATAGTTGGTGCAATTTTTTTTAACAAAGACATAAAACAGCCAAGCAGCCTTGACAAACCATTTTGTTTAATCTCTTTTCAAATGAAAAGCTCTTAAGCAGGCCACTTGTCTTAACTGCTTGAAACCATAAAAAGAGAGAATTGCCACCAATAAATTAGCATATTTTTAACTTCATCACCAAATGATGGTCAATGTGGCTTGGCACTGCTTTGGTGTTTGGGACTTCACCCTTAAGTGACCACTTTGGCCCTTTTTTGACCCTCTGCCCTCTTTAGCCGGCCACTTGATAAGGTGACTTCATGGTTCTCTCTCTTTTTCTCTTTCCCTTCACATTTGCAAGTAGCACTAACCTATAAATCATTGTAAGGGCCCTATCCAGTGACAAATTAATGTGCCCTCCTCCTAATTAATGGTCATCAATGTCCTTAATTATCTAATCCTATTGAGAGCAGTTAATAGTTAATCAGGCAGCCAGTTCTTCAAGCAGGTCATCTCGGCAGGAGTGTTAGAAGTTTCTCATCTGGGGATAGTCCCTTCAAAAGCCACTTAAAGCCAAAAGATCGAGAGTGTAAAAATACTGATTCTTGAGCTAATTTGCTTTAGTTCTCAGAAGAAACCATTGAAATGGAACCCAGCACTGTAATTGTTCAAACTTTGTTTCAGTTTTTTCTGATACAATACTGAGAAATTTACCATTATTATTTATCCCTTTTTAAGCGATACTTTGCTTAAAAATTTTGAAAGGATAAAGTTATAATTAGTGTCACAAGAACACATGCCTCATCGTTTTCTTTTAAGTTGAACTTACGTTTTTCATTAAAAATGTGGGGTTTTTTTCCTCTGCATGACGCCTTTCTCCCAAATGAGTGTTCTGACAAGCAGGTCTAAGATATCATGTCCATCATCAAACACACTAACCAAGCAGATTCCCTAGTGAAAATCCTGTTGCACCCAGAGAAAAAAGTAGCACTGTAGTGTGAATCATGTTTATTCTCTCTCACTCTCTCTCTTTCACTCTCTCTCTTTCTCACACATGCACACAACACGTATATGCACACACACACTGAGTCGTCTTTTGGGCGTGAGGGGATAGAAATAAAGGACTAAATAATGTCAAGTGGGACCTCTCTTTTGAGTGAACTTATGTTCTAGTAGTCACTACACTTTACCACTGGAGCTGACATGAGATCTTTTATAAACCACATAGGTTTCTGTTCCATTTCCTCTCTTCTATTCCCAGCATTCTAACCTAAGAGAACAATTATAATTGATCACCTGTGATTTGGAAGAAATATTTGAAAAGAAAACACAAATAGGTGGTTGGTTTTTAAAAAGTTAATATTTAATACAGTTGCTCAAATCCTTTACCTTTTTGGCTTATAACTTTCATCTTTTTTTATACATAGAAATATAGTTGTAGCACATTCCAAATAATTTATTCACTCATGCCATAAAATTCAATTTGGTGTTTAAGAATGAAACAAACCTAACAAACATATATAGGTATAATTATAACAAGGTAAAATCATGTGGTTCACATAAGACTAAATGATTTAAATACAGCACTGTACCTTATAAAATACATAACCAAACAGATAGCAAGTCTTTGGTGATATATTGTAGAAATTGGAAACAAGAGGATTCCTTTATTAGGGGAAAATTTATCTATCAAGTGACATTGTTTTAATATGCACAACAAAGTTTTTTTAAACTGATACTAAAAAATAATAATAAAATAAAAATAATAAAATGTGTACTCTACTAGTCTATAAAGTGTGAGATTCTAATATAGCAGACATTGAATCTGTGTTTTACTTTCAGAAGAGAAAGGTGGTTTAGCAGGGAAAGCAGATATGTTTTCTGATTCCATACAGGTAGATTTGTTACATGGCGGAATTTTCTTATCAGACACATAGTCTCAAAGTTGGCATGTTGGAAGCAAGGAGCAAAAAAAACCAGGAAAATACCTTCATCTCTATTTTTAGGGTACCCTTTCTTTGATTTTTTTAAATACTCTTTTTTATAGACGAAAACTAAATATTTATTTATTTATTTATTTTTTACTAACATCCACCAAGGGCCTCTAACAAGTAGAGCAGCTTTAAACAGCAGTCTTTAATTTTTCTGAGTGATTTGGAAAAGGCAAAAGAATATTTCTCTCTTCTTGGACTGTGTATTGGTATTATTCCGATTCAAGTGGGAGCATTTATCTAATCACAATAAATTTTTACTAATACCTAGTGTTCATCAGCTATGAAGCTCTATAAATTCACCCCTCTACAAAAACCGTAGCAGAATCATATCTATAGTAATGACACTAAAATCCTGGCATGCATTCTGGATAGGTAAAAGAGAAAATTTAAGGTTGATTCAGTCTGGCTTCAGGTTAAAAAAAAAATAGCTTTCCAATTCTTTAAAAATTTATAATCCTTATAAACTGTACATGGTAACTCTCTAGCATATTTGATTAACCGTGACATACTACTTATTCTTTGGCCTTACCACATAACCTTTATTCAATCATAGCAAGATTTATTAAGCCATTATTGTGTACCAGGCCCTCTACTGGCTTATTTATACTTACTATATAGTAATTGAATATTTTATAACAAAAGGCTTTGCTAAGATATAATAATAGACTCAATATATAGAAACTATATCTTTTTCATCTTCCTATCTATCCCAGAACTAAGAACAGAGCATACACTTAGCAGGTATAAAATCTTGCTGAAATATATATATGGATAGATAAGTTACAGAGTCTGGAAAATTGTCCAAATAATACAGCTATAAGTGTTATATAAACCAGGCAAGTGATATATAAACATTACCTTCTCCATTAAGTTCCTTTAGAAATATAACTTGGGTACATAGCTTCACTTCCAAGCTGAAATAACTACTTAGACTTGTTTTTGTTTTTCAGTTTTGTAATTTTTGCTTCTCTGATGTTGGGATCATCGTTAACCAGTTTTTTCTTTATATTAGTCATTATGATGTAATTGTGATACCTAAACAAGTAAGATTTGATACGATTTGAAATGTGGCTTCATTTAATTTGATGATATCATAACAGCAAATTTTTAAAAATAAGGATAAACAATACGTACATAGGTTTTAATTGGTCCAAAAATAGTAATTATCATAAATAGTTTATTTATGTGGGTTTTGCACATTAAGTGAATATTGAGAGTCCAGAAAATCAAAGTAGATTAAGTTTACTCAAGATTGTCTTTAATATTTTGCCCCTAATTCAGAACACAGGACTCCAGTACCTCTCCAGTCATCAAGAACTTTCTCACAGAAGAATTGATAAACCACTATTTATTAAGTAACAACTATTTTTGATGCACTTACTTAGAAAACTCATTCTTAGGTATTAAGACCAAAATATTATATGCCACCAGTATAAATCAGCTTTATATAGTACTACAGTATACTTGATATGATTCAGTAGAATTATCTGAAATTTTTACATATTGTAAAACCATAAACTCTTGTAGTCACTATGACGATGTTGGACAATGTAGAGTTGCTTGATATCTTTGGTCCTAGGTTTCCTTACTTGCCTATGTTTTGCACCAATAGTCTTTCTGGTTTTAAATGGGAAGTAGAAAGGGGACTGTTTACTGTACCTAGAGATACAGGAGAGGATTGGTTAACTTACTTGTCAATTAACAGTTATGTCACTAAAAACAAAAATAACAGAAACATAAATGTCTGACTCAAGAGCATTAAGTCATAGCACGAGGGACCATATAGTCCAATATACCTATACGGCAATATTCAATTCCCAGATATACTGCAGTTAGCAAAAGAAAATCAAAGTGGAACATATGCATCTGTTCATCTAGATCAAATCACTTGTCAAAAGTAAATTCAAATTAGCATTCTTTAACAATGGAAATGTCATTTTGTACATGTTTACATCTTAATATATTCATTATATCACCATTCCCATATTTACACTTTAATTCCTAAGTAAGGTAGACATCCAGTAGGGTCATACAGGTTTCATGGACTCTCCAGAAGTTGGTAAGACTGTGCTCTTTTATATTTCACATGTCGTAGTGAGCCTATCAAAAGTGCATACCACCTTAAGGGGAACACAGTTTTGAGACTCTGTCTAATCCTATTTCTTCCCACATTGGAATCTTAATTAGAAGAGATAAGAAAAAAAAAACACATCATTTAACTAAATTATTGTCTTGAATCTGTAGCAAAAGGTATAATCCGCAATTGGGCCAATTAGTGAACCCCATAGTTAGCTCTGC